GAAAACCTCTTCCTCAGAGCATCTCCTGATGTCCCAATAAATCATCGATCCCCAATTTGAGAGAGCTCTAGAGCTTGATTACGCCATCACTTCGACATTCAACTATCTGCCGTTTATTCATCATGAGTAGCACAAGTTTACTCACCACTGTTCTCGGCTGGACTGTTGTCCTCGGTGCAGCTGGATACTACTACGTTAACAACAAATCTAAGGTCAAGGCTAAAGCTCAAACTGCGGTCAAACAAGTCAATAAGGTTGTTGAAGAGCGCAAGGAACCAAAGTCCAAGAAATCCAAGAAGGATGCCTTGAGCAGTGGTGAACAAGATAAAAAGTCTTCTGCCAAAGCTGAGAAGAAGAAATCTCCCGCTCCTCAAAAAACCGAACCCAAGCAAGAAACTGTTAAGCCTGTCGCCAATGATTCCGATGATGATGACAATGATGCGGAGAACAACCGTAAATTCGCTCTTCAATTCGCCAAAACTCAAGCTGGTACTCAATTCTCTGGTAACTCCTCTTCATCTACAAATCGTCAAAAGTCTGTCAAACAATCTCGTGCACAAGAAAAGGAGATTAAGGACTCTGGAAACATGACCGCTGGCGATGCTGATGATGATCAATCCTTCACTGACTCTCCTGAAGTTGGCCCAACTCAGGGTACTTCTTCTGTCGTAAGTGGTATCGCCGATATGCTTGAACCTGCCGCCCCTGGTCCATCCGTCTTGAAAGTTACTGAACCTACCAACCCTAAGCCAGCCAAGAAAGAAAAGGTTAAGGCCGCTCCTCAACCTGCCGAAACCAAGAAGCAAAGACAAAACCGCGCCAAGATTGAAGCTGCCAAGGTTGCGAGAGAGCAAGAGGAAAAGGAACGTAAGGTCAAGGAAGAGAAGCAACGTCGTACCGCCAGAGAAGCTGAAGGTAGAGCTGCTAAGGATGGTAGTCAATTCATGGCCTCCCAAGCTGCTAACTCTGCTTGGACTGCCTCCTCCGCCAACACATCAAACGCTCCCATCAACAAATTCGATTTACTCGACACCGCCGAAAACAAGACAGATGAGAAGGTTAAGGTTGTTGTTCCAGCCGAAAACTTCTCCGAGAGCGAGGTTGTTGGTACTCAATGGCAAGGATATGGTGACGATGATGAGCGTGTCAAGACCATCATTGAAGATTCTCGTGAATGGGAGCAAGTCTCAAGTAAGAAGAAGAGAGCCAAGAAGGATAAGAAGGAGATTACTGGTGCAGAGGGAGCTGGAACCACTAGTTCAACCGATGAGAAAGAGTACACCATTCCACCAAAGACTGAAAGAAGTCTCCCAGGACAAAAGTGGACATCAGACCTCACTTATGTCGACAGTGATAATAATGTTCATGACGTTCAAAAAGATCTTCAGGATTCTGAATGGGTTGTTTCATAATCATCATGACTTCTCGACATCAAGTTTTTATCTCAAGATTAAACTTTTAGTCTTGATTTTTATTTGTCGCCACCAAATTCGAATTTCCCATTCTTGTATTCTCATGGCGTTTGAGCCTTCCTTCACATGTACATTGTGATATTCGGGGAGGAAGGATTACTTTTGACTGCATAGGAACCCAAATGACTTTTCTAAAGAGTCTTTGCGTTGGTATCATGGATGGTGGGCATATTGCATAGGATGATGCACACGCTTTGATTGACGTTGTCGAATTATTTTAATTTGATTGGCGTCTATGGTCAAACTTTATCTGATTCGTATGACAACTGGGTATCAAAACGAAATTTCAATTTGTTTACGTTTGCGGTCATTTACTTTTAATCCATTTTCAAGATCATGATCATGATTATAAACAATGTACTATCAAATGATATTCATCTATTTGACACGATGATTTTATGGATTCAGAATGGCATAGGCAAAAAAAATTGATCATGATCTTAAATATTATTCTAGTCTCCAAGTGATGTTGATCGTGATGTACTCCTACGTGCAAATGATACGAACTCATGATATGTATTGCTCTAGATGTATATATGCATTTTATCTAACTATTGTGCATCTACTACATATTCAGTGTAGACAATGGGAAGAATAAGAACTAGATGCACACTCTAGACCACCCTCATATTTACAAGATTGTTAAGGAAGGAAGGAAGGAGCTGGAGGTCTCTGATTTTCAAATCGTTTGTCATGAATTCTTACCAAATAGTGAAATACTAGTTCACATCCGTGAGTGGAATAGTAGTTCACATCCGTGCTTGCACTCCACACTCAAGGAGTTCGTCCCATCTCTCAAATCCACTACTTACACCTCATAGTTTTATCAACATCAGGTGATATGAAACTGAATCAGTACCAAAAATGATTTGAACTGCACCTCTTCCTTCAAGCTGACATGCAGCACAGGGTATATTCGTGGCTCAGTGGCTTGGCGAGCAGCAAAACCATTAAGAACCCATGAATTCTTCAGCCTCACCCATTTCCATGCGTGATACCTACACAAGGTTGGGGGCTCAGGTAAGTTGTGTATCGCTGTTGATGATGCTGATGTTGCACAATATTAATAGATATTGTGTATATATTTTGAAATCGCGCTGTGTTTTTCATTCTTCTCTGCATGTCTTTTCAATTTGAGTTTGATTTTGAGCGGTTTTGAGCCATGTTTTAATTGCAGTCGGATTTTGTTTTATATACTTACGAACCTGCCTGCGAATCGAAAGGGAATTTGAGAGACCGAGAAGACGAGGCTGAGAGCCAAGAAATATGTCGGCTTTGGATAACCTCAATCAAAATGTGTTTGGGCTTGTAGCATTGCTTGTTGCGGTAATAGCACTTTTGACAACTTGCTTGCAGGTGGCACAGCAATATTTCTCGAGTGCCGAGGGGTACAGACGATGTGCCGAGTCAGTGATGGGGCTTTGGTCCGCGGGAACTCATCGACAGTTAAGGATACGGGAATTTCGAGTCGAGGTTGTTTTCGAAGTTCCAGTTATACTCGTTGCACCGCCCAACAATCAAAGGGGTCCAATCCTGAATAGACCGATTCATTATATCGATGGCACTCCTGATTCGTACAAGAATACCAAAGTTCGCCAACCGGATGATCAATTAAAGAAAGATCAGGAAACCATTCAACGTATTCATACGGCGGATGATGAACGGGCATCTTGGGTTACCTTGTTGTCAAGTCTACAGCATGAGGAACTGGAATCACGAAAATGGGACGAAGACATTCGATCGAATAGACCACCAAGTGATGGACATAAACCAATAGATCCTCCAAAGTACGAATTAGCTGTAGGTTTACAGGTCAAAACTCGCTCTTGGGATTTCGTTCCAGCTAGTATGACTAAACCATATGCTACATCTGCTATATGTCACCTGGTAGAAATGATGGCATTCTTAGGAATGTATTGGAAGGTATTTGATCAAATACAATGGAATCTCAGAGCCGAAGGCAATGGTTTTATTCTTACCTCGACGACAGTTCATGGATTAGGTGTCATGGTCGTGTTCACTGTTACGGGAAAATCTACATTCAAACAAGACCGTGTCATTCCATCAAACGATGTCAAGGCATTATGCTTTGGGACGGTCCCCAACATATTCGAGGAAAAGGAATACTTAGAAAAGGTGGATATGGAATCTCAAAGTTTAGAATTGAAGTTTGGAAGTCAAGATGATGTGGACTTAACATTGGAGTCACTTGGCTGTACACCTCAAATTCTGAAGAGATACAGGAAAGATCACAGGCATATCTTCTCTAGCAAGTTCCACCTCTGCTCTTCTTACAAATGTATTCTAATTGCCTGAATAGTATCTTTTGAAATTATCGGTATGCTAGGGAAGGTTACTCGAATTCGTGGAAGCAATTTTAGAATGATTCCCAACCCAACTCAAGATCCTTGGTTGAAAAAAGCCGGTTCAAAACCCGCTTGGAAAGTCTCCAAGCTCATGACTATCTTTCAGGAGAAGCTTAGCGACATTTTCGAACAAGAAAGCGATGATGATGAAACTTCCAAACTTCATCCCTTTACCAAAATCACCAAACAATGGCAGGTCATCCAATCTCTTCATTCCGAAGAAATTGACGAATACAACCTCAGCATTGAAATGCGCGAAATGATTCACGATGCCATAGACGAACAAACAGATTACCTCCTCCACGAACTCAGACAAATAGATGTTCTTCAAGTCGTCGTTGCTCATTTGGATCAAGTGACGAAAATCCTTGATGAACCTAATTCCTCTTTGAATTCCATTGTTTCTGTCCAAAAGGAAGAACCTTTGTTGAAAATATATTTCGAGGAGATTCGACCCGCGGTCGCGGAACGTGATATTGATGGGAAGGAGTTCAGTCCCTTGGAAAGGGAACAGAGAAATATCATCTGGGTTTCGCTTATGTTCAGAATGTTGTGTTGGCTTTTATTGCATGATTGGAATAAAGATGATAAATGTGGTGTTCCACCTGATTTGAAGGGAAGTAGAATGCCGGTTTTTATTGGATGATGGTGGATATTTAATGGGTGAGGTGAAGATTGGTCGTTCTGGGGATACTGCTGAGTAGAGATTCGAGGTTGGATCAAACCATAGAAAGAGATGGATAGTTTAGGGACTAAGGAACTACAGGACTGCGTTGATGACATGAAAAGATTGCTTGAGATTCTTGCAAGCGTATGGCTTAGTGGCGCTGGAAAGATATCATTCTTATGGGGTTTGGATGTTTATGGCGCGATGCAAAATAGAGGATCATAGTACTCTTCTTATCTTTTTGTAGATATACCCATGGAGCGTAGCGTAGCGTGCGTGGTATTTTATATGTCATATTTTTTCTCAAAAAACTGATTTTTATTTACTTGCTTCCTTTTTGGTTTCCTTTCCTCTTGATGACGTTCATTCGTTTCATTCCGTTGGATATTTCATGACTTCATTACTTCATTACTTCACAACTCACTTCCCAATATTCGCAACGCACATTGATTCCACTCCAATCCCCTCATCGCATCGCATCTTATCTCATTCCCCTCATTCCCCAAAAAGTCCCTCATCCACCACACAATGTCTCGCCATCTCAAACTGTTCATCCGTCTTACAAACCAACATGCGATGCTTCGCCCCTTTCTTCCCAATCTCCTGCACCGTCCCCTCCATCTCTCTCGCATTCCTCTCCCCATCAATCTCAAACCCCAAACACCTAATTTCCTCGCCCACCCTCTCTCTCAAGACCTCGCTCTTCTCGCCTATTCCCCCGGCAAAAACTAACGCGTCAATATTGCCATGTAAGGAGATGTAGTAGTGTCCGATGTACGAGAGGATTCGATCGATGAAGATGTCGAAGGCGAGTTTCATGGTGGGGTCAGAGGAGGAAGAGGAGGTAATGGTGCCGAAATCGGTGGTGCCCGTGAGAGATTTCCAGCCAGATTCTTTGTTGAGGATTTCTTCGGCGCGGGAAATGTGCAGGGAGGAGGTGGATTGCGGAGAGAGCTTGCCGACATTGGTGGCGTAGTGGAAGACGAGACTAGGTGGGGGAATGGGTTAGCTAGGGAACGTAAGGAGGGATAGATAGATAGATAGAAAGAAAAACCCAAGTATAAAAAAAAAATACACACCTCGGATCCAAACTCCCACTCCTCGTGGCGCCGGGCAACCCCGCCAACGGCGTCAACCCCATACTCGTATCCCAGCTCTTCCCATTCTTCACCACGCACGCGCTCGCTCCACTCCCCAAATGCAACGCGATAATATTCGTTTCCTCTTCGCTCTTCCCCAGAAACTCCGCGACGCTGCGCGTGATGAACGCGTATGAGATGCCGTGGAATCCGTATTTGCGCAATCCGTTTTTCTGCGCGATGGTTTGGTCGATGGGGTAGGTGCTGATGTGTGCGGGGATTGAAGCGTGGAATTGTGAGTCGAAGACGGCGATGTTGCGGGTGGTGGGGAGGTGGGTGATGCAGTGTTGGATGATGGTTAGGGCGGAGGCGTTGTGGAGGGGAGCGAGATCGCTGAGGGTTTCGAGGTGGTGGAGGGTTTCTCGGGTGATGAGCTGGCTGGTTTGGTAGGAGCCGCCGTGGACGACGCGGTGGCTGGCGAGGGAGATGTCGCTGAGTTGGGAGATTTGAGAGAAGGAGGGGTCGTTGATTAGGTGGGTGAGGATGTATTGGAATGCGGAGTTTTGGTCGGTGATTTTGGAATCTAGGGTTTGGTTTTTGAGGATGGGGGTGCCTGATCGGATGTATTTGAAGGTTGGCGGGGGGGAGGTGAGACCGGAGATTTGGGCTTCGGCGAGGGGGGTGGGCGAGGGGTCGCCTTGGGAGGCGGAGAAGATGGAGATTTTGACGGAGGAGGAGCCGGCGTTTATGGAGAGGATAATTTTGGACATTGTGGGTTGTGTGGTAGGTATTGTGGTGTGCGGTTTGTGGTTTGTTGTGTGTGAAGGTTTGAAGGTTACCAGTGGATGTTGGAGATTGTAAGTGAATATCTAGGTAGGTATGTGAGTAGACAGGCAGGTATCCTAGAAACGTAAGATCTTACCAATTAAATCTCCAATCGGCTTCTTTCTTTGAAGCTGTCACTGGCACCCAATTTTGATTTCGATGAGTTCGATAGGAAAAATAATCCAAATAACTATATGAACCAGAGTAATAAGAACCAAGCTTAATACTCAGAAATATACCCCTACTTACCTACCTACCTAGACAACCCCATCACCCCCAAAAATGATCCCACAATCAATCCCATTCCATCTCTCATCCCATCCATAATCGTATCATACCAAAGCAAAGCAGCACAGATGACGTTCCAGAAATTCCCCGCCATAAGGTTACGTCGTACGTGAATTTCCTTATCGAGGCCGAGAATTGGTAAGTTACCTACCTAGGTACTTATCGATTGGTTTTTAGGTTTTTAGTGATTTATAGTGATTTATTAGCTTTTCCGGGTTATCGGGAACGGGCGGGTGGTTACAGGGGGGGAGGCTTGATTGTTTTCTTTATTGTTACAGGGGAGGGGGGGTTGGAATTTAGAAGGGTTGGATCTTTCTATCTGGAAAGAGGATAAGGTTATATATTATTTTCTCATTCTATTGAGTGACTGAGATTTAGATGCGACGGATAGAAGTACTATCATACATAAAGATGGATGATCTCACTCAAATCCCACATGCAACACTCCGTAGCGAGTTAAATAATTGTTGGAGTGTCCGAAGGAACGTACGTAGCAGGACACTCCTACTTCGTACAATTACCATATACCATAGTTGTTCGTTCTCCACCCAATAGAGAGGGTTATGACGTTAATCCCAACGTCAAGCCCAACGTCAAGCCTTCTTCCTACAGGATACGAGACTTTCCCGTAACCTTCTATTACAAACTAATTACATCAAATAGCATCAAAACTCATCGAGTGAATGGAAATCTCGGTGTTGCTCATAATTCTATACCTTCTAGCACGTTTTCACACTGGGAATAGATAGCTAGTGGGGTCTTGGCTATGACTGTGGATGCTGGATGCATCCAAGTCTGCTCTATAATGTAGCGTATCGGATTCATCGGCATCGCTAGTTTGTTGATATGAATGTATCCAGTATGTAAGATGGATTATGATAATGATGGATGAATGATAGATGTGACGCAGTTGTTCCTTTGTTAATGGAAGAAGTGGAGAGCTAGATGGCTTGTTTTGTGTTTGGAGAAATAATAGGAGGGGTAAATGTTAGTTGTTGATCTTTTTATTTGATCTTTACTCTACTCCGTTAAGTATATTCTATATTTGAAAGAATCAATTATCTCTCTTCCTCTTCTCATAACTTTATACTTCACTCGTCATTCCTCTATCTCTTTGCTTTGAAAGTAATTGGACTGTCTGCTTGATATCAAGGTAGACGATCTAGTGACGCAAATAACGAAATCAATATATCACGACCACCACCACGACCACCACCACGAACACAACTACAATTATAATCACAATAACCTCAAACCACCCTTCAATATCAATCAACAACAAACTCAACATGCCTGGAGAAATCATAGATAGACCAAATCCTCAAGCTTTAAATTCCAACATACCTGGTTCTGCAACGGTCAATGATTTAGCAGTCAAATTGGAAAAGCTACAAATCCCCGATGATGATTTAAGAGGACTTGAGGAGTTTCGTAGAGCTAGCAATTATATTGCTGCTGGTGAGTAATCCAAAAGGAAGATCACTATACCCAAGCTAACAACCTCATAGCTATGATTTTCCTTTCCGATAATGCTTATTTGGAAAGAGATCTCACATTTGATGATATAAAACCAAGACTTTTAGGCCATTGGGGAACATGTCCTGGTCTTACTTTGGTTTATGCTCATCTGAATTATCTCACTAAAAAGAATGATCTTGACATGATCTATGTTGTTGGACCTGGTCACGGAGCTCCAGCAATTCTTTCTTCCCTTTGGTTAGAAGGTACCTTGGCAAAATTCTATCCCAAATATTCCAACAATAAGCAAGGCCTTCATAACCTCATCACTGGTTTCAGTACCCCATTTGGGTTTCCTTCTCACATCAGTGCCGAAGTTCCAGGTTCCATCCATGAAGGTGGAGAACTTGGATATGCTCTTTCCGTAGCTTTTGGTGCGGTGATGGATAATCCAGATTTGGTGGTGGCGTGTGTAGTTGGTGATGGTGAAGCGGAATCGGGCCCAACTGCGACGGCATGGCATGCGGCTAAATACATTGATCCGGCGGAATCGGGTGCGGTGATTCCAATTGTTCATGTGAATGGTTTTAAGATTTCGGAGAGAACTATTTATGGTTGTATGGATGATAAGGAAATGGCTACTTTATTTACTGGTTATGGATATCAATGTCGATTTGTTGAAGACTTAGAAGATATCGTAAGTTGGTTACTCGAACTTGGGAGAATTTGTTGTGGAATCGGGTGGAAACTGTGCTAACAGTATCTCAGGATCGTGACATGGCAACAAGTATGCAATGGGCTCTTGATGAAATTCGTAACATTCAAAAAGCTGCCAGATCTGGAAAGCCAATTATGAAACCAAGAGTATTTTCCCCAAATTCATACATGAGAACCAAATACTAACGTTAAATAGTGGCCAGTAATCATCATGAGAACTCCTAAAGGATGGAGTGGTCCAAAGATTGTTGATGGAGAATATGTTGAAGGATCATTCCATGCTCATCAAGTTCCTCTCATGGCCGTTAAATCAAATAAAGATCAACTTGCTGACCTTCAAAAGTGGCTTTTATCATACGGACCAGCCAAATTATTTACGGAATCTGGCGATGTTATTGATTCTGTCAAGGCAATCATCCCACCCGAACATAAAAAACTTGGTCAAAGACCAGAAACATACAAAAACCATGAAGTATTAAAAGTACCAGATTGGAAAAAGTATGGTGTTGAAAAAGGAACAGAAGCTTCTTGTATGAAAGCTATTGGTGATCTGATTGATCAAACTTTGGTTGATAATCCCAAATCCCTTCGTCTATTCTCTCCAGATGAACTCGTTAGTAATAAACTTGACGCAGTCTTCAAGCATACAGGACGTGATTTTCAATGGGATGAATTTTCACATGCTCAAGGTGGAAGAGTTATTGAAATTCTCAGTGAACATACATGTCAAGGTTTTCTTCAAGGTATGATATATTTCTCTGGTCTTTCCTTATGTACACATACTCACCATTTCTAGGATATACTCTCACAGGACGTACTGGAATCTTCCCATCCTATGAATCCTTCCTTGGTATAATTCACACCATGATGGTTCAATATAGTAAGTTCAACAAAATGGCACGAGAAACCCGTTTCAGAGCAGATCTCTCATCTCTCAATTATATCGAAACCAGTACATGGACTCGACAAGAACATAATGGATTCTCGCATCAAAATCCTTCATTCATCGGTGCCGTCCTCAATCTCAAACCAACAGCTGCAAGAGTTTACTTACCACCTGATGCAAATACCTTCCTCTCAACAATTTCTCATTGTCTCAAATCAACCAACTATATAAACTTAATGGTTGGGTCCAAACAACCTCAACCCGTCTTCCTCAGTCCCGAAGAAGCAGATAAACATTGTCAAGCCGGTGCGTCGATTTGGAAATTCTGCAGTACGGATGATGGGCTTGATCCGGATGTTGTTCTCGTAGGAATCGGTTCGGAACTCATGTTCGAAGTTGTGGTTGCCGCTGCCCTCCTCCGCAAAAAGTGTCCAGAATTGAGAATCCGAGTGGTCAATGTAACCGATTTGATGATTCTGGAAGCGGAAACTCTCCATCCGCATAGTTTGACACGGGAAGAATTTAATAGTTTGTTCACGGAAGATAAACCTATTCATTTCAATTATCATGGGTATAGTAATGAGATTAAGGGATTGCTTTTTGGAAGACCAGGTTTGGAGAGAATGAGTATTGCGTGTTATAAGGAGGAGGGATCCACGACGACGCCGTTTGATATGATGTTGAGGAATGAGGTTAGTAGGTATCATGTGATGGAAGCGGCGATTAAGGGGGGTGCGAGGGGAAATAAGAAAGTGGAGCTGGAGATGACGGGGTGGCTGGGAGAGATTAGAGGGAGTAGGAGTAGAGTGGGAGAATATATTTTGAGGGAGGGGAGAGATACAGAGGGGACTTTTGACGTGCCGAGGTTTGAGGAGACGGTGTTTGGGAAGGATGTTGGGGGGGAGGGAGAGAAGGGGGGGAAGGAGGATGGGTTTTTTGTTAATTGAGGGAGAGGTATAAGGAATAGAATTAGATTGGATGGGATGAATGGACTTGCATTTCCATAGGGGGTTTCGAAAATGGTGAGATGAGAATGAGATGAAGATGATGAAGGTTCGCTTATTGTAATACTATAATCCCATTGGATAGAGATCACAACTAAAATGTATAATATCTTTTCCTTGATGTTTCACTCTCTCATCTGGATACCCCATCTATATATATGCTTTCCCTCCCTTTACCATTACCCTAATATATACTTCTCCTTCATTTACATTACCCTCATATATACTTTCCCTCCCTCTACCATCACCCAAGAGAGAAGAAAGGCATCGGGATCAGCACCGGCATTATTAGTGATTTTCTGATTTTCTGGATGAGTGGATATTAATGTAGAGTTTGGGTTGGGGTACCGGTGGATATTCTATTATTTTATGATTGGATTTTGAGCTTCTTAGGGGTATGAAGTATGAAGTTTGGGGTTTGGAGTATGAAGTTTGGGGTTTGGAGGGAGGGAAAGAAAGGGAGGGAAAGAAAAGGGAGAAGAAAGGGAGGAAGAAAGGGAGGAAGAAAGGGAGGAAGAAAGGGAGGAAGAAAGGGAGGAAAGAAAGGGAGGAAGAGAGCGAGAGAGGAAGAGGGGATGAAAGGAAGAATGAGATATAAGAATGGAGGGGAGGGGAGGGGAGGTTTGAGAATGTGGAAGATTAAAAAGATGAATAAATTGAGAAGATTGAAAAGACTGTAATTAGAAAATGAAATGTACAAGAGGGTATAACGTGTTTTATCAATGAGTGAGTCATATCAGTGAGTAGATCATTTTTACTTTAATTCATTCTTTTTTCTTTCAATATATATTTTATCAACAACCCATAATAAATTCGAATACTCAAAAAGCCTATATACTCCTTACTATTAAAGCTATTCAAAAAGACAAAAAAATAAGTATTCGAAAAGTTGTAAAGATATATAATATCCTAAATACAATACTACAATATAAAATCAATAGTTTTATTCCTTGTTCCGAATATTAATCTAAATTTAATAATCTTTTAGAATTAAAGGAGAATATTATTTCTAAATATATAATCGATATGAATATAAAAGGATTTCCATTTAAATTAAGAAATATGAAAGATATAGCAAATCATATTCTCGAATTGAAAAGTGTAAAGCGTATTGGAAAGCTTTAGGTGTATCGATTTGTAAAACATTGAATTGAATTAAAGATATGTTTTAATTATGTTTATAACTTTCAAAGAGCTCTTTGCAAAGATCCTAAGCTTATTAAAGAGTGGTTTCAATTGGTTGCGAATATGCAAGCGGAATACAGCATTTTGGATGGCGATTTTTATAATTTCGATGAAATAGGCTTTATAATGGGTATAATATGCCCCGGAATGGTATTAACTAGTGCTGAACGAAATGGTAGAAGCAAGGCAATACAACTAGGTAATAGAGAATAGGCTATAGCAATCATATATGGTAATAAGGAGGATGAAACTATACCCTCATTTCTAATAATTTAAGGACAGGTTTATCTTTTCAATTGGTATATCGAAACCGATTTTCCTATGGATTAGGCTATTAAACCTATATCTAATGGATAAACAAACAATGAGACAGGTTTAGAATGATTGAAATACTTCGATAAGCACATTAAGAATCGAAGAAAGAGTAGATATCGAATGTTAGTACTAGACAGGTATGAAAGTTATAAATCAAAAGCTTTTCAAGTATATTATAAAGAGAACAATATTATATACTTAAGTCTATCACTATATTTAAGTTATTTAATTTAATTACTTAATATGAACTGTTTTAGCAATCTAAAATGTTTATATAATAATCAAATTGATGAATTTATTAAGATATATATTAATCATATTTCGAAGGTTGAATTCTTTATAGTTTTTAAAGTTACATATAAAAAATCAATTACCTTTCAGAATATGAAATCAGGGTTTCAAGGAATAGATTTAATCTTATTTAATTTTGCAGCTATATTCTCGAAATTAGATATTCGAATTCATACACCTACCCCCCCTCTTTCGATTTAAATCAATAGATCTCTCAAACCCCTTACAATCCAATTGAAACTCTTTTTCAATCAATATTAGTTAAATCTCGAATAACTTGTTATTATTCAAGCTCCTTTATATTTATATTTGAGATTGTATTAGTTTTAATTAAGAATATAAAAAGATTAACTTATAAGATGTTACGGGAGCTGCCTCTAGGGTCACGTGGAAGTGTCTAGAGATCTCTCGAGGTGGTTTAGACTAGACTTCAAGTAGGAATTCAATAAGGTTGTAACTGGTTGCAATTCTCGTAACTATAGTAATGAAACTAATGATTGTTCTTGAGCACGAAGCTCTACATGTAAAGAAACCCTTTCCCTTATATAGACCTTTGCACTCTGCGATCCCATCGATCCCACTCACTGAGAGTAGTGGGCGTAGTGGGATCCCACTGATCCCATTGATAATAATCGGTGGGACTGATGGGATGGTCCATCACGTGATACTAGTCCCGTGAGTCTTGTCGTCCTGTCTTATTTCCTGTCCTAGGGCTAATCCCTTGGGAGCTTACTAATCCTAGCAAGACCTCTCTTGCTTACTGTGTCCTGTATTGCTTATTCTTCTTAGGACCCTACTGTCCTAGGAACCATGTCCTATGATTCAGTGTATTCTATAACTAATACTATATACATGCCTGAGGCTTTCCTTGGGTGCCTAGTGTCCCCCGGTATACTGCAGCTGAATCACTGAGGCCTATAATACCATTATAGCCTATAAGTCAGTGATTCTACAGCCTGTTACTAATCCGTTGTAACATAAGAATACACTTTTAAATGTAGAAATTCGTATACTTCAGATAGTAAATGAAGTATTAAGCAAATATCGATATACGAAAAACCCCCAATTATATTAAAGAGGAGTGCTTATTAAATAAAAAGCTTTTAATATATTATTTTAATAAAAGGTTAATATTTAGATTTAATATAACAAATATTAAAAAGGAAGGAATCCTAATAAGAAAGCATCTTTTAATTGATACTATAGTAAATATGGAAAGACAGGTTATAATATAAGAACCTGTCAAAATGATATAATAGATTCTAGATTATTAGAATCTTTATAGTTTCAATCAATTGATTTTGTTATTGTTGAATAATATAGTTTTGAATAAGTGAATTGAAGTGAAAGTGACCCACTCACTAATAAAACCCACTCACTAATAAAACACGTTATAGGTATTTAGATATTGTTTTTATGTTTTTATAATAGAGTATGAGATGGGGAGAAATAAGTAGATAGATAGATAGATTGAGGAGCCATCATTTTCGAGATGAGTGGAAGATATGAGATATAAGTTAAGCGGAAAGGAGGGAAAGGGGTGTGTGGATGGGGGTGTGGGCATGGGTATAGGAATTGTGGATGGGAGGGGAGAGAGGGCGAGGGAAAGAAAGGCATATAGAGAAAGAAAGATTGGTATTATTTTTGGAGATACAGTGAATAAATATTATTTCATCTCATTTCCTTCAAATCTATTGTGTTAATTGTCCCTTCTCTCCTCGGATATTCTAATACATGAAACATTCCACTTTTCATTCTCTGTCACACTCCTAGACAATCAGAAAGCGGGTGACAGGGGGTGAATGAATTCTGCTTCCCTTCTCGCTTTCTCCATATTCTCTCTGGCCTCTGTACCGGTCTCCCTGTTGAAAGCCCGCTACCTGCCATTCCTCAGAATTCCGAAGTGTCAAAGATCCAATCCCCCACCGAGTCTTCCAGCATTCGAATTTATTCTCCATCTACCTTTCAATATCAACATGAATGTCACCCACAACAGTCTCTACCTCCAAAAATTCCAAACCCAATTATGATTCATCCAAATTTACGACAAGGTCTTCCGAATAAATGTGTTCGAGCTGCACCACCCCAATATTCCCCAGCGCAACCACCCTCTCAAAAAGACTCGTCGACAACTGCGCACCAAACTCATTACATCCTCAAGATTTAACCCCGGGCAGCACCCCCTTCTTCTCCACATCCCCATACAGAACTACATGCGCCTGCTCAAACGTAAGCGGAATAACACAATCCGGTTCTCTCACCAAAGATGCATCATCAATCATCACCACCTGAGGTTTAAATCCCATATCGCGAAACGCTGCTAAATTATTGCATGTTGAGATGATGATTTTGGTATGAGTATCCTTAATAACTTCTTCGATTTCTTCAATTCCTTCTTCAACGAAGCGTTCTGCTGCGACGGATTTTCCTTTTCGAACGCGTTTGAGTGTAGCCAGGCATTTGCATGCTTTGCTGCGGATGGTGTTGTTTAATTCCGGATTGTTGGCTTTGCACTGGAAAGATCTTATAACCTAGTTTGAGATTCGATGGGCGTCGAGGGGATCATCTTCTTCGTCGTCTTTTCTCTCGTCGTCTCGCTTCATAAAGTCATTTACTGTGGATGCGTTAGCTGGGAAGTGGACTATACCGAAGTTCTCTTTTGATTCTTCAATCCCAGGCAGAAGTTCGGGCGCTGGATTGACTCCAACTATTTGATTATCGACAGCTCTGAATAGTTTCTGAGTTGCCATGAAGATCGAGAGCAATGCGGTTTCTGCAGCTGCATTAGTTGGCGTGGCATATAGCACTTTATAGCCAAGTTGTGCTTTTCTAATATATGTAAGAGCGGTAGTAAAACTTTTACCAGTTCCGGATTGGCCTTGGATGATTTTGACTGGTAAAACAACCTCGATAACTGCATCGTATGCTTCTCGTTGCATACGGTCAAGGTTACAATTTTCAAGCCACTGGTCGTATACCTTTTGATTGAGGAGTGGTAGTTGGTTGTATGTGATTTCTTTCAGAGAAAGAAGGTGATCCTCAATATCATCTTTAATATCGGCCATCCCTTCACCGAGTATGAATCTCTGGAGGATTCGTCCGTAGATATCGTCCTTCGCTTTGTTTTCGGCAATCATACCAATGGCTTTGAGTTGACGTGTTGTAGCAAGGCGATTGTTCAAGACCTTTAGTTGAACATTGACTTTGCTTCCTGGGTGAAATTTCCTTTTCTTACCCACGGGCATAACGAAAGAAATGACGAATTGTCTATTAATTTTGGCCACGAGAATGTGAGCGGTCCATTCTATGTTGTTGATACCGTCGATGACGACATCTTGGGTAGCAGCTTTATCTTCGCTGAACTCACAGATGGATTGGTCGTCTTCGCTCTTGTCTATCACGTTAGTTTCAATATTTTCTTGGCTACTAGTGATGTTAGTGGCACCTGGATAGGCTTCAGTCTCTACCTGCTCTGCGGTTCGACCATGTTCAACCTTATTTTCGTCATTCTCCAACTCGACATTAGAGTCTTCGGCTGTTATGTACCCCCCATATTTAATGAGAAATCGAGCTCCCCCATTAATCGAAGGGAAGGGCAATTCTCAACAACTTGAGATATCAAATTCAAGTTGAACATAATCGTTCTTTACATACCTTACAATTGCTTCATATGTTCGATCCCAATTGTAATACTGCTCGTTAAGCTTGACTGAGGCTGCGACATCATGAATAACAGCCGCGCTGAGTACGATTTCCCACTCTGCCATTGACCTAGAGCTGTTTCTTGCATCGTGTGTAACATACCTTTGAATCCAGTCCTCGTTCTCTTCACCGGAAGCCTCAGCCATCTAAGGTTCATGGGGAAGGAATTTCGTTGCATTCGTATACCAATCCTTGAATCGTTGGCCTGGGTTCTCCGTTGCGTGGCCATTGAAAATCGGCCATAACCCTTGTTGTGAACAAACTGTGATTCTGTGTTTCCAGTAAGCATCCAGCTCATGGCTACAGTTTCCGAAGTTGCGGACCAGTTAAACACGAAGTTACCTTTCTTCAAGATTCTTTGAAACTTCAAAGCTCTAACTTCGCTTTCCTTATTAGTTACACAACTATCGCAAAGTCTTGGTGGTGATACGCGGCCCTTTTTTGTGAAGTTCAACGCGAAGAAACCTACCCTAGCTTTTCCATTAACGTTGTCGTCAGCTTTTTCATCTAATAATCCTCTTCCAAATTTGTATAACTCCACTGCTTGGTCAAAGGTAAGATCAGGCGTGTCAAATACACCAGCAAACTCAGATCGAATACTAGCTATACTCCAGTTGGCAGGATTGTCAACTCCAAAAATCAAATGTTTGAAAATGCAGTCATCGGCTGTTTGGACAGTAGAATCAACATTAGCCAGAGCAAAATTATGCACATGAAACTAACGACATACTCATCCATATGAATGATGAGCTTCGCAACTTGGGACGAAAAATCAAAGAATGTGGAAAGTTTGTCAAAAAGTATTGGAGCTGTACTCTCCTTTATACTAGCAGTAGACTTCATCGGATGAATAACTACCATTACCTTTTTGGCCCTGTTGTTTTGACGAATATAGGGACCAGAAGGTTTATCCTTTCCACTTACTGGTCTAGTTGCATCTTCTTTGAAGAGAATCAGTTCTTCCAAACTCTGCTCAAAAAGGAAGTCCCTTTAGTGCCTTTAGGTACATTAGAATTCCTTGTAGATTCAACATTAGGCCCAGCGATGGTAGGATTTCTAATTCTCCAAGAAAGTCCTTCCTTATTACCCTTCTTAGGGGCATAATTATTCTTTAGAGGAACCATTTTTAGACGAGGTGGGGGGGGGGGGGGGGATTTAAAAATTCTAAAAGGTCTAACGTCCCTTTGGAAGTGAGAAACTCAATGAAGAGAATCTTGGAAAAAACAACTCGGTTGAGAGCTCCTCTTTCGTCGGGTTGCGGATTCGAAAAACCACGGGCGAGACTACTACCGAAGTAAGTAGACTATAAAGAAAATTTAGTATTTGTAAAAAAACAAATACTACTGATCATAAGATCAGTTTTGGGGGGAGAGAAAGTGCGCACCAACTTATGCCCCAGAAGAAGCACAGATTGGAGTATGTAAAGTAGAAGGGTATGAGTCGAGGAACAGCTATTGAAAGGATTGGTTAGCAAGTATTCAACATGAAACTGAGCAAAGTGCATGAAATGTGATAGGTATCTTGATGGGCGGAAGATATCGCGCATCGATCGCAATCAAGTCCTTTGCTTGAAGAACCATTTCATCGTTCAATTTGATCTGGAGAATTAAAGAATGATATCATATTGTTGCGTAATCGAACATAATCCCCATCATTTATCATATGGAAGATAAAACGAACACTATTGCGTTTCTCAATTCTGATCGCAGTGGATCTGAAAACGATATCGACTCCAAAAATCAACCAAAGCCACCAACACCGAAGAAGACATGAATGCCCTCAAAACAAAGTATCGCACATCATTTATACATCCATAGAAAATCATCAAAGATGAAGAAAAACAAATAAACCACTTACAGTTGTTACTTGAAATGATGGGTCAATTCAAGATAATATCGTGTTTGTTAAAGAGTAAAAGACTTTTTCGGAAAACTGAAATTCGTCCAGAGGGTATTGTGAAGTCGACGCGAAGCGATATTTGTGCGTCACGTGGGGATTCTTCCCTCAACCAGTTATGGATATACCTACCTATCAGCTGACTTTTGTCGAAGTGATTTATTCACATTTGAAGACTGTTTCCCTATTGAGGAAAGATGAGAGACGAAGTGTGATAAGATGCTCTTTGCCTTGGAATTTAATATCGTTTGTAAGTTTGTAATTACAATTCCCATATTGTCATCTGTTATGAAGTGAAGTGAAGTCTGTTCATTGAAAGACTGCCTAATATATTTCATTTCTGTCTTCACTTATTATTCAGCGGAAGACTTCTTGAAAGGGCTACATTATGTATATCGCAGCATCGAGAATGTTCGCCATAGGACTCGACTTTGACAAAATACTTGGATGATACGACTTCTCATCTCTACAATCTCACCCTTCCCTCTCACTCAATTCAGTTCCCATTTCAATATTCTTACTTCATCCCCTCATTCTCACTTAATCTCCAAACCACCATCTTCACAAACAAGATACTATATATCTAATAGATATGACTTCATACCACAACAATCTCGCCCTTCTACCTTCCTCCCAATCTATCTCCCATCCCATCATTCTCATAATCCCATCCGATCCCCAAATAACCATCATCAACATCACCACGACTTCCACTACCTCCTCCGCCTCCCTATACTATATAATCCAATCTCTTCCGTTTTCACATAGTATATTCGTCATTCTATCCAATCTTCCAATCTATTTCCTAACTATCTCTCCCATCTCTCCCATCTCTCATATCCAATCTCACACTATCCAATCACCTCTCACACACTCTCCTCACACTTACCACAAAAAATAAAATATCCCATTGAAACATTAATACCCTCACCCTCACCCCCTTTCCCTTCCCCCTTCTCCCTTCTCCTCCCTTTACCTCCCTTAATCCCTCCTCCCCTATCCCTCCTCCCCAATCACTCCCCCCCAATTCAAAACTCCACCATCCACATCTAATTCCATCAAAACGAAACAGATTCTACCAAAACAGACAAGGAAGAAATACCTCTCTCTACAGAGCCCAGAGGAGACAGAAATAATATCATACTACACCTCAACATTAATTCCATCGATAGAAGTCAATACATTATACCTAGACATTCGATGCTCTTTCTTGATATCGATTATCGATTATCTAGTACCTATAATTGATTATCTCGTACCTAATAATCCATCAGTTTCGTATTAGTAGGAAATATACTAGGTACTATATAATGGATTGGTTGAGTTAACAAGTCAAGTCACTTATGTTACTCGCACTCACACTTCCACTCGCCTTCACGTTTATACTCGCCATCCCATCCTAGCCCATCCCCTCTCCCCACATCACTCTTCACACTCACTCACACTCACCCACTCACTCACAATCTCCTCATGCAATCACAAAGTATCAAAAACCATTAAAGTTATTTTCTCTTTTATATTGATATTTATATTCATACCCAATCGCTGATACCTAACGCTGGTACCCCCACAACTAACCCAGCTGGTAATATATATCTAGCTTTCGCTAACATCCTCCCTTCGTATTTTCAATCCCATTCCATATATCTTATCTCATCCAATTTCCTCTCCTAAATAGACAAGCTTATGCTCATATACATACACGACATGTATAACCTGGTATCATTGCCATTGCCACGAGTAAGTGAGGTACCAAAATACACTCAAAAAGACCTCAAAAAAAGCGACAAATGAAAAACCTCAACTCCTTTATATCATATTTTTTTCCTAATTCCCCGGCCAAGCCATCCATTCCATAGAAATTTCCCATTCCCATTCCCAATCCAGATCATCCAGCCTAGGTATAAAAATTTCCCTCTTAATTCTCCTTCCCGTCCACATCAAACAAGTGATGTAATTACTTCCATCCCATCAACTGATCATCCATATTGAATCGATCCAAGTCAATCCATCGAATCAGAGAATCAAATTCATCTCTATCCTTCCAAACCATGGAAAAAGAAAACATCGTGAACCCGCATCATCATGGTATATACTGTTAAAAAAAAAACCCCCCCCCCTTTGTAAAAGAAACCCCTCCCACACAGACACAACCTCTAAAAGAAAAATGGTATATACTTGAGAAGGAAAAGTTAAGTAACCTTTTGCATCACCAACTCACTCATCACCCAAGCCGAATACCCGATAAGTATTGAAAGAATCAGATAAAGATGTAGCCCGAGACCATCCGAAAAAAATTGGTACCACCACGGCATATAGATTAACCGACGGGAAGAAAACGCCAAAACCAAAACCAAATGCAGTATCAAATGCATTCAATATATATTTGCCACTTTTCATCCCTTTCATCCAATGACAACAGTTTTGAAGTCAAGAACTGCCAAAAGAATCGAGAGACGATGAGATGTGGAGAAGCATTTCATGCAGTATTCACAAAACTGTAATATAACCTGCACATGCTGAAAACAAACTGGTGCGGGGAGAAAAATCGGTGATCCAAACGCAAGAGTTATGATTCTGTATGACTCTGGTTTGTTCTGAATATCTCATAAGTGGTAAGATATTAAGAATTGCCAATTAAATCATGTTTTCCGATGCTGCTTGAGCTAATATATCCAAACGATTGGGACTCTTGGACCTGGTAGGTAGACTTTGGAAATCTGTTTGGGTAGGCGAAGGACCCGATCCCATTTGAGCGTAGAAAAGATCTTGTTGGGGTTGAAACTGTTGTTGATCCCTCGATAAATCGAATGGGGGGATTTCAGAGGTCGAGATTCGAGATGGCATCCTAGGTCTTGGAGATTGTAAGTTGTTGATTGATGGAGAAGCTTTCTTTTGTACTCTGGCAGGCATGGTAAGTGTCGACTTTCCATTCAATCTACCACTCGATGATGCGCTGCTCGATGCAGATCTAGGCTTGTCCTTGTAGTGAGTGTCGAGATGTTGCTTCATGTTGTCCGCTCGGGTAAATTTCTTCATACATCCAGTAAATGTGCAGCACACCATTTTTTCGGCAGTATGAATCTTAGCATGCCGAGATGCATGACCGGAGGTAGTGAAGGTTTTATTGCAATTGTGAAGCTCCTTGTATCGACATGAGTAACGTTTTCCAGGTCCGCGTTCAGTGACTCCTTGGTAAGAATCTTCATGATAATATTGTTCTTCGGGATATTGTTGTACGTTTGTTGATTGGTAAGGTTTTTGTGTGGAGTAAGGACGATATTCGTCCATGGAATTACGTTCATAGTATGGGGTTTCCTTTACATATTGCTCGGTGAAAGAATGATTTCTTCCATGGGCGTTTGGTGTAAAGGTTGGTGTGAGTGGTGATCGAGCTTCATATGAATCGTAAGAATCCGAGCGTAATAAACTTGGTACCGATGTAAGACTTGTGATTGAAGCATTGGAATTCGTTCGAACCATGTGCGGAGAGCTTGGTGGGTAAGATCTTTGAGCGAATCTTTGCGATCCGTATGAATCGTATGAAGGTTGTCGGAATGGTAATTGTGGTAATTGTGATTGAGATTGTGATACGGGAGATGGAGACATTTCCGTCGTGGAGGAATTTAATAAGGAAACTTCGCGACCCACGGAATCTCTGCCCTTTATACTAGGTCTTCGGGTTAAAGACATTGTGATTGATCTGGTGGATTGCGAATTGAAATGGAATTCGTATTGGTTATTTGAGGAGAATTGCAGAAATTCTACTATTTATTAAAGGAGATCAAAGATTGAAGCTACTTTATTGAACAATGATATTCGAACTTGAATTAGACAATCTCGAGTACATGTGAGAGTGGGAGGTAAGAGGATATCGATGATATAGATGTTGAGTTGAATTGACAAGTTTCCAATTCTCAATTACAAGCATATAAATATGATTGATTGATTGACGAGTGAAGATATAGGATTGAGTCAATATATCTATCTCTTTCGAAGGATGTTGACAGGAAGAAGTCTTCAATGGTTGGAGTAGAAGTCTTGTGGAGGTGGATGGATAGATAGATAGCGATGTATCGAGGTAGCGAATATCAGCGATATGGAATTGTACCGTAGATAAGTTTGACGGAGGTGAGGTGATGAAAGTCGAATTAATCTTCTGGTGGTAGGGATGGTATGTGTTGATAGGGAGGAAGTATATCTTTTATCTCGCAAGTAAAGAATTAAG